AGGAGGTGAGCTCGGTATCCCTTAGATAACCGGCTCCGCTACCATGCAAGGGTTTTGGGTCACCCTTAAACCACACAATCACAGCTGGCACAGGCTACCTTTTCACTCACCTTGTGCCAAAGGGGCTCCAAGTAACAACTCACAGGTGGGCATCAGAATAGGCTATACATCTTGACAAGTTGTTGACGGGTTCTAGCAAAAATGGGTCGCTTACTCAGCCTGTTTGCGACAACATTATGTTAGTGAGTTTTCCAATCCAAAACATTCGATTTTGCTGGACACTGGCTTGAGCCTTGTAGCGCTCAATTTGACGCCAAGTTTCATGAACCTGGCTTCTGGAAAATCTTGCAAGCTACATCCGTGACTTGAAAGGACACTCTAAGGACCTCTTCTTTGGATCCATGCAGAAGCTTGTAGATGATGTCCTCCCGAAGCACCAAATACCTTGAACTTTTGACATAAAACTTGCTTGCTGAACTTGTCATGGTGTAATGATGGATTACCACAACATTGACGCAAATGACTCACCTAGATAACTCTGCTGGTCCTACCACAATTTCACGCAGGATGCTCGTCCCAGGCATGTCCAGATGGAAAGTCTTGCTCGGTTTTGCAATAAATGTCTCGGACTTGACGACGGACCTGAGCAAAGACAAGCGTCCAATGTTCCGGAGCAGCACAAGAACAAGAGCACAGGTTGCCTGCATGATGCAAAGAACGGCAAAGAAAACATGTGCTCTGAATAAACACTCAGCACACGTCATATGGATATTTGCTCTGCAAAGTGCGAATGCGAACACCAGTAAAGAACAGTGCATGAAAGCCAGCTCGCATACAACAAAAATACATGGAAAAACACGAGCAGTTCTGCCTTCAGCTCGCGATCCACCTCGCGGCAGTCGCGAGGCATCTCTGAAAAGTCTTCATGCCTGCACCATCGGCATAAGTACGTCGACAAGCGAATGGCCCTGTGCTGAACAGCCCAGTATGGCCTTCCACTCCCCTCAAACCCAGGGATCAATAAAATATTCACCTCAGCTTACAGCCAACAGGCTTCTGGAACAAAGAGACCCCCCAATTTCCTGGAAAAGCTTGCACCGCCGTGGGCAGCTGAACCCCCCTTCACGCCACCGCCCCACCCTTTCCTCCCCCAAAAACAGCACCCAGCATGCCTCCATACCACCACCGAGCCAGGATTTGGGAAAACCAATAACTGCTTATAAAAACCAGAAGTTTCATCTAAATTCCAGACTTAAATAAGATTAACTCTGGAATTATACCTTTAATAGCAAGCGGTGCCGTGGACATGCGCTAGAGGGAATTAACTTTCGAGCTAGTCTTTCACAGCAGTCCCACGCTTCAGGGAGGATTAACTCTGGAGTCATTCTTTATTTGTGGCGCCTCCCAGAAGCCTATCAAGGGTCCAAAGCACCCGCCTTTACACTTTCTATGGGGTTGCATCGAAGGAAAATGAATAGGTATCGTAGATTTTTGGCCCAGCTGGGGCCAACTGGAGGCTGGGCTACGCATCACGATGTATGTGCTGGCCGGAGAGACTATTCTTCCATTCTCCACAGGCACCGTCTATGGGCGTAACGGCTAACGAGTAACTTTAATGTTATGAAATTGGGCCTAAGCAGGCCGGCTGGGAATTGCGGGTTTGGGTCGCAGGTTTTTTAGGGATTGACTACAAGTGTAAAGGGTTTCGAGTGTGGTTACATGTTTAAGCTGGTTCTGGGTTTAGGCCTTCGCTTGGGGTTCTATTGTTTTGACTTCAGGAATTTTGTTGGTCGTCCTCGGATGTCGAAATGTGCGCGGTTCGTGGAGGGTTCAGGATTTAGGGTTTGGGTTGAAATTCTTTTAGGGGCCAGAGGATTAAATAGAGGTTTGGGGTTTATGGTCCTTATGTTTCGGGCTTAAAGAGTTATGGTTGAAGGTGTGGGCTGAAAATCTTTGAGAGAGTGGGAGGGTGCAGGAGTTTGAGAGTAGGGTCTTAGGGTTGAGGGTTTGGATTAAAAGCCTTTTGAACCTCTGAGGTGGTTGAGGGTTCAAGGCTTTTTGCTTGGGGTCCTAGGGCTCAGGGTTCGGACTTGAAGGTTTAAGGCTGGTGATCTCGAGATGTCAAACTAGACTGGCGCAGGCCTTGGGCTGAAAGTCGTTTAGGGACTTGGGCTTTGGTCGGGTGTCGGGTGTTACGGTCTTGGGGCTTAGTGCTTAGGAGTTAGGGTCTAGGGTTTGACCTGAGATCTTGGTGATTTAGGGTTTTTGATTTAGGGTTTAGGGTTGGTGGTCCTCAAATATCCAATCAAGCTCATTTAGGGTTCAGGGCTTGGCTTAGGTTGAGTTTCTGTTTCGGGACTAGGGGTGTGGAAGGTTCAGAGTTCAGGGTTTAGGAACTTGGCTCTTAGGATTTGGGACCCCGGAGTAAGCGTTGAGGGTTTAGGTTTGGACTGAAAGTCTTTTAGGGTTTCAGGATGGCTTCGGTTTAGGGTGTTGAGTTCTAGTAATAGTAGAGCCAGAGCCTGCGGCTTGCCCGGGCCGATCTGCCTGGCGATGGAGGCTTTTCACTGCGCCGGTGCGGCATTTTATGAAGATGTGCCAAAACCCCCTAAACTCTCAACCCTAAAAACCCTAAACCCAAAAAAAACACTAAGCACCCTAAACCCTCAAAACCCTAAACCCTAAAAACCCCGAACGCAAAAACCTTAAACCGTCAAGCCCTAAATCCAAAAAGGAAAAAAAGAACCCTAACAGTGATAAACACCCCAAGGCCTCAAAACCCTAAACCCTGAAAATCAAAAACCCTCAAAGACATTTAAAAAAAATCCCTAAGCCTTAGAACCTCTTAAACCCTACAGGCCGAAAACGCCCAACACCCGCAAAACCCTGAAGCGTAAAAACCCTAAACCCTAAAAGCCCTAAACACCATCAAAACCCCAAACCCAAAAACCTGTACACTCCGAACCCTAAACACCCTAAACTAAGGACCCTGAACCGTAAAAAACCTAAACCCTGAAAAACTTCACCCTGAAAACCAAAAGAGCAAAAACTCCAAAGCCCTAAACTCTACAAACTCTAAACACCAAAAATCCTAAACCATACCAACCCTAAACCCTAGAAGGCTTAAACCGTAAAAGCCCTAAACCCCAGAACCCTGACAAAAAATGAAAAACATAAACACTCAAAAACCAAAACACTAAAAACCCTAAACCCTGAACCCGCCAAACCCTAAACACCCTTAATCCTGAAAACCCTAAAGCCTTGCGCTCAAAATCCTTAACTCTTAAACTCCTAGACCCTAAAAATCCTACACCCTAAACATTACAAACCCTGAAAACCCTGTAACCCTGCACCCTGAAAACGCTAAACTCTCAAAAAAACTCAAACCCTTCAAAAAATTGCCTAATTCTGAACCCTAAACCCTCAACACCCTAAACCCTAAAAACCCTGAAAGCCCTAAACCCAACCTAAACCCTAAAACTTCCCCAAAAAATACTCACTCAACCCTAAAGAACTGCTAAAAAATGCAAAGCACTAAAAACCCTGAATCCTACCAGCCATAAACTGCCTAAGGCCCAAAAACCCTAAATCCAAAAAGGACCGAAACATGAAAGCCCTACACCCCTGGGTCTTCACAGCCCTGAAAACCCTGAACTCTGACAGCCCTAAACACCCTAAACCCTAAACTCTAACAGCCCTAAAAGCCCTAAACCCTAAACTCTGACAGCCCTAAAAACCCTAGACCCTAAAACTCTGACAGCCCTAAAAACCCTTAACCCTAAAACTCTAACAGCCCTAAACACCCTAAACTCTGACAGCCCCAAAAACCCGTAACCCTAAAACTCTAACAGCCCCAAAAATCCTTAACCCTAAAACTCTAACAGCCCTAAAAACCCTAAACCCTAAACTCTAACAGCCCAAAAAACCCTAAACTCTGACAGCCCTAAGAACCCTAAACTCTGACAGCCCTAAAAACCCTAACCCTTGAAGCCCTGAAACTAAAAACGCACTGAACCCTGAAGACCCCTTAAACCCCAAACGAACCCTAAACGACATATGTTACCTGTGGGCGAACTGCGCATAATAGCATTACTAATGACAACTATGAGAACGGCGGTACTAAATTTGCTTGTTGTAGGAATCTTTGCAGGGACAAAGCAAGGGCGCACATCGGAGAGCAATTGAGGCGTACGCTGGACCCCGCGCCCCCCCTTCTCTCCCAGTAACTCTACCAACGTCGTGCCAAGCCGCGTCGTGGTCGTGAGGCTTGCTGCGCGCCCTCTTGCCAAGGCGGACACGCGCTAGCGTCTACAAGTAAGGCGTCAGCCTTCAAAGCAAAAAATGCCGTACCAAGCATGTGGCTTCTGCCCTTGAAGTTGACGCAGCCTCACAGCGATGCCACATCCCGGGCAGTTCCTTGTTCGTAGCGCCTGTGCACATGCTTCCAAAGAACCCGCAAAGCATCAGAAAGGCAAAGGAAGAACGACACATACCTCCTCCCCTAGAGCGGCAAATCTATGGCTCAGAGACGCACGCCAGAATGTGCGACTATGAGCCCAGATCAGATAACGATCCTTCGCCCATCCATGCTGGTGACAAAATTGTGACGCCCTGTTGCATTCCTACCAACGACGCTGAACGGCGAGATGCTGGTGAAGGGAAACCCGAACTGCTGGAGAGTTGAACCAAAAATGGGAAAAATGCTAAGCCTGCTGAGCAAGCGCGGAGAAAGGGTTTTGCACTGGTCTGTGAATTCCAGTATCCTGCATTATTTCAGTAGGCCACCCAGAATCCTTGCATCCCCTGTTGTGGCAGACTTTGGAGGGGCAACTGCACTGAGCAGCTTCTTGTGTTCGCTGCCTGTCCGGTATCCCTCACCGGCAACGTTTCTCTGCGGCTTAAAGCTCGTCTTGCTTTGCTTGCTGTCTGGCACCTGAATCGCAGACCTATGATACAGCATTTCACATCACTAGCATCAGCCATGGAGAAACCAAGACAAGGATGTGTGAAGCTAGTGCAGTGGCAAGGTAGGGCCTTCGCCCTACGTTACTTCTCACGGCTTTTGCAAACTTGCAAACCCCGCTGAAGTCATCATGAACCGCTTGTGTACAGCAAATCACTGATCATCCATGTCAAAACAAGTGTGGCCTCTCAATGCATTGATGCACTGAGCGCTAACATGTCTTTTTCGCTTGCAATATCTCCTAAAACGACCTGCAGAGGACAGCCTGTGAACACAGCTTTTACACACGACGAAGTTTCAACAGTTCGATTCATCATTGAAGGCTTGCCTTGTCATGAGCGTCTTTTTCAGAGGCGCACATGCACATTCAACAGTGCTGTTCAGCAGGCGTTCAAGAATGCGTGGGCAAGTGGGTGTCCATGTGGAAGGCTTGGGAGGGTGTAGTGAAACATACCGAGAAGGAAATAGAATACCCTTTCACACGAGGATTCTTTTCCATTTCCATGCACACAACACGCAGAAGCAGGCAAGCAAGAACATTGTCTCGTCTCAGTGCCTGCGGCAGACACCGGTCGCAAATCCGATGCTCGCAGATGGCAGAGAACAGCACGCGCACCTGCAGGAGTTGAAGTATAAATTGCGATGACTCGAGCCATTAGCTTCAGCTCCAAAGGGAACACCTTTCAGAACATGTCAGTACACCTGATCTACAGAGGGCCTCACTCTAAAGCAAGAAAGAGAGAGATCAGCAGCCAGGCTGCCTTATTAGCTTTATGGAACCAGCAGCTCTCCAAAAGCCAGTCCTTTCCCATGCTTCAAAACACTAAGAAAATTGCAACGGCCTGTGCACATACATATTTATATATATATACATACATGTCAAGCACTGCCGCACCAGTACAGCTGAACTACAAATACCAGTATGTCTTGTGCTACTGAGACAGCTGCAAGGAAAATCACACCACGCCGAGAAGCAGCAACACCGGCGGCAACAGTGGCAGCATCGCCGCCATCGCGACTGTTGCCAAAACCACTACCACCACCACCACCGCCGCCACCGCCACCGCCACCACCACCACCACCACCACCACCACCACCACCACCACAACCAACATCACCACCACCACCACCACAACCACCACCACAACCACAACCACCACCACCACCACCACCACCACCACCACCACCACTACCACCACCACCACCACCACAACCACCACTACCGCCACCACAACCAGCAAAAGCAAGGCACCTCCATGAAGAGCTCGACGACAGCAACAGCAACGCCAACCACCACCACAACAACGACGTCGACGACGCGGAAGAGGAAACTACAGCCCCGATAGAAAACTCCAGCCTCAGGATTGTGGTAGAAGTCCACATGGCAGCGAGCACACTCGCTCATGCCGGCTATAAGATTTTGTTTCCAAATCTTACTTCCTTTGCATTTTAACCTGATTAAGCGTAGAAGGTAGTTACGGGTTCAAGCCACTATTTCAAATCTTGATTCACTCGGTAACTCAAAGGCCAGACTTGTGCCAATTGCTCTGGCCTCCTTGCTTACCTCGTGCAAGCCATGCTAGAACTGCTTGTACGAGAAAGCTGCAAAGCGAAGGTCCCAAACACCTCATGCACAAATCAGCCAGTTTAGGCCTACTGCTGATTGACTGCAAGTCACGCAGTGACTGCGGTTCGATGCCAACTTCACCACTTGTATCTGCCCAAGGGTCACGACTCTTCTTCCGTCTTCGCTGCACCAATGACTTTTGTCTGGGCCAGGGAGGTTTCAGTCTGCACTTGTCCATCATATTTGAGCTTTTTGGAATGAACTGAAAAGCAGTGCCCCGTCTTTGCCACATGCTCTCATAGAAAGCTGTGATGAAGCCCCAGCCAACAAAGAGATTAGGAACATGCGCATGTTGACACGTCTTCCCCTGAGCCTGAACCCGACTGCCCACATCGGCGAACAGCCATACAAACCCTGGCCTCCAAGTCCTGGAGCATTTCCACTGCTTTCAGGACTGGACTGCCTGTCAGCAGCAATCCTTTTAGCTTTTGGTGATCACGAGTGGGTCTTGCATGTACTGATCACGAAGAAACCTTCTGCAGCCTTTTGATGTAATCCCACAATTGGCGGCACTTCTTCTGGGAAAAGCAATGCGAAGGTGGCCTGCTGCCAGTGCATCGGCACCTGAGGCGGCAATACCACAGGAAAAGATTTTTCACATGAAAGAAGCCATTCATGTCCAATTCGGATTTCACCAGAATCCAGTTGGGCATTTTACTTTACATCGTGCAAGTGCACGCATGTTGCAAACAATCTCATCATTCATCTTTGTTTCAAGCTCAGCCTCCAACGAAGTGAGCCGGTTTTGACGGCATCACTGCACGCAAATCCTGCAAGTGCCTGCAATTCATGCATCTGGCCAAACCGTGAATCGATGGGCAAGCATCAGATTTCTTGATGTCTGAATCCAGCTGTTGTAGTGCGCTATTGAGCGAGTAAGTGTCGAAGTGGAAGGCCATCCTGCGTACAGAAACGGTCCCTACTACGTTGTGGCATGCCTTGCGACATGGAGTGAGGTGCAGCCACTCGAATCCCAAAGCAACTCACTTTTTTGAAGATTTCGGAAATGGCACATGAACCGCAGAAACTGTTGTTTGACCCGACTGTGTCCATGCACAATGTTGCAAGAAGCTGAGGGAAATGCCGCAATCAAGCTTGGCACCCATGCGGCTCCGCACATCCTGGCAATTGACGGGGGAATCCTTGTGAATAAACCAATACCATGGAAGCTTGGCTAAACACCTGTAACCAAAATGAAGACATAGTCAAAGTATCCACATGAAACCTGCTTCTCGATTGACGACAGCACATTGTCTAACGTCTGCATCACTGAAATAAAACCAAGCAAGTGTGTTGCCACCTGACAAAACTCAACCGGAATCGTTCAAATCTTCCTTGCTGTGCCATGAAGCTGCCTGGGCGGGCATGGAGGCCACTTCATTGCTCAAGACACGGCTACAAAAGCCATGTCGCTGAAACCCAAAATGCGGAGATGAAATCCTCACCAAAAGTTCACATGGCAACTGGGATGTCGAACGGTCTCGACTTTCTGCAACATATGCGTCCCGAGCATACACAACCACATTGGTCCGTGCCACCAATATTTTGCAACGCTGAACAACGGCAAATCGCAGGTGCCCCTGACATGCACACAGCGTGCATATACAAAGCATTGACATCACAAACGTGGCAAGGAGGGTGCCGCGATGTGATGCATTGCTTATGACTACGTGGGCAAAATCCCCCGCACTTGCACAATTGGTGCACACTGGATATGCCAGAGGACGCAACATACTCATCTCACCGCTAATTTCAACAAAGAAATTCAAGCATATAGGAATAAGGTGTTCATCCCACTGGGAGTAGCCACAAATTCGCACTCAACACACCAAGGCTCCTGTATCCTGGTTTCGCTATTGCGGACTTTGGGCCTTCCGGGGTATCTTTTGTTGGTATACAAAATTTCTCAAGTAAATGAATCAGACTCCAAATACAATAATCTTTCCTCTACATATATACAAATATCAAATACGTGTCCATTTACTCAACATGCAGACAGTTGGCCTTCATTTTCCAAAGATGAGTGGCTGCAGTCTCGCAAGAGGGTTCTGTCTGCTTGTACACGGGTAAAGCGTGGGGTCGGTGGCGCACCTGTGTGCCTTTGCCCCCCAGCTGGTAAAGTAGGGTTGCAAAGGGTGGGAATTTTGGGTGGGTGTCAAAACTTGAGTCGTCACCCAGCTGCGAAGAGAGAGAGAGAGACTATGTACATAGTCTCAAGGTGTTCAGTACTGATTATAGGGAATACGAGGAAGTTTGCAGCGCGGCTGCCACACGCAATCAGAATGCTCGGAGCGCTCTGATCCTCCCAGGCGGGCCAGCTGGGCTAACCTCATATGATTCTACTATCCAGACTGAGGCTCAACTTCCCCGGCTGAGGGGCGAGGCGGATCAGGAGCTCGCTCCTGCAGGCGCCATTCCTTCTTGCACTCTAGGCCCTGGCACTGTGCCGGCGGCTATGTCACGGGCAAAACCCTACATACCGCGTGCCTCCAGGCCCCAGCGTGGCCGCAGATATAATTTCCCTGCTGCAACACACTCAGGCCTCCCCGCATCCCTATGGGCGAGCCAGGACTATGTAATGCGTAAGCTTTCAGCTGTAGAATATCACCTGGAAGTGTTACAGAAGCAGGTTGAGACCAGCGAGCAACGGACTGCACAGCACATAGAGGAGAGGTTGGCAATAGCATACATAATGCGCATGTCCGCACCACTGACCTGCAGGCTGGCCTGCGAGAGCAAGAGAGAGCCACCGCTGACATACAGCATGCTGTCTCTCAAACAGGCGCCAATGCGGGGCAGACGGCGGCACTTGGGGAACGCAGTACACGCCATGAGAACCCACATTCTTAAAGGCGAGGACGTAAGTCTGTGAGGCAGCGAATCTAGAGGAAGTGATGGGGGCGAAGTGCACCCTCAAAGACCCTGACCGCACTGAGCATGCATATCCCTCTCACCTGGCAGGATCAAAGCCCCAGCAGTTCCGTTCATCCTGTATCAGGTCGGTAGTGTTTACCACTTGGCGCACCATCACCGAGGATGGCCTGACCCCTCCATGCTCAATCCCAACATCGGCGACCCATGACCTACTCCGAGGGGTCGGCCACCACCATGTCTCTTTGGTCAGTGGCTCAGCTGCCAGGGTTACATGCTGAGGACCATCTAACTTCACCGACTGGGCTCATCAGAGGTGTTACCTGGCCCACGAGTAAGTTTTTTGCACGGAATGCTTCGCTAGTACATCAATTCTGATGGCCGGTAAGCTAAGAGAGCAGACAGGGATAAAGGCCTCTCGGTCCTCGTCCCCAATCAAGCCACAGTCAGTCGTTCACATCGGAACAACTGAGAGGCGGCGAACTAAAGATGACGGGCGAATCGTAGCCTAATGGCGTCAAAAGATACCTGGCCCACGAGTCGGTAGCTGAAGGCAAAGCAGCGGAGGGGGCAAAGCGCAGCCTCACTGCACACGCCCATATGTCATCAGTGCCTGTGCGCTTGGGATTTGTCAGAGAGGTGTACTGGCGACTACTTAGCATCCCAGGGTGACCTAGCCATGTCTTCGCCATGGAACCAACGCGCCGTGGCGAATGCGCACAACAGATCCATCGATGTGGAAGTGTGCATTCAGCCGGTTACGCGACCATGGTTCGGGCACGACTAGGGGACGAGTGGTACCACCCTGCGGCAGCGCATGCCCCCTGGACTCAATGCCGATGTGCAAATATGGTTGCGCGACAGGAGGGTTTTTCCCGAGGACGGGAGGCTGCCGAGTGCGGTGGTCGATGCAACGGATGACGGGGCAATGCTGCATATGGTTCAGACCCGAAGACGCCCCATAGTGGTTTGCGCTATATGCACTCCGACAATTGTCAACCAGGCGCGGAAAAGGAGCCTGTGGGAGTTCCCAGAATGCGCTATTGCAATCAACTTTACGTTATTGTCGGCGACGACCGACCCAGACTACGGGCCAGGTCCTGGGCTGTCCCATGCAA